GGGGGGGGGGGTGCAAGCACAAGAAAAAAGAGCGGTGGTTTAAGTGGAAGTCATCAGGAAGAGGACATAAGAGTGGGAAGTAGATCACAGAAAGGCGAAACTGTGACCCACTTGTCATCTGCTGATTAAGAACGTTTGGAGCTACAAGGAGCAAGATGGAGGTAAAATACAATCGCAAGACAAGGAAATGCTAAATGTGTCCTGTAAGAATATAAAATAAGTTTAAATCAAGACTGGCTCAACACTTCTAAAGGTGTTACATGTAGCATTTATACAACAATAAATTACTCGCAAGGTAATTTGGGGACGTAGATGTAATCACTACAAATAAACACTGGAAACGATATAGCCTTTTTGTTGTATTTTACATTCTTGTGAGTAGTGAATACTAATAGTTTTGTAGCAGTTTATTTAACCATCGTATCGATATATAACAATGCTACATGTAATATCTTTTAGAAAACACACAGTGTGTGTTACCAACATAACAGCACTGCATGAACTGCTGATTGGAGTGGATTTTTACTGGCAGTAGCTGGCAGCACGGTGTGGTGTGTAGTTAGTGCCAGCAGAGAGACAGCCTGCTTGCTCTGAGCAGGTGTTACAGCTGCAAAAACGTCAGGTACCATTACACATCAATGAACCTGTGGGAGGAGAAGGAGGAGGAGGAGGTCGAGGAGGAGGGGGAGGAGGCCGAGGAGAGGAGGCCAGAGTCGCCAAAAGGACATGTGACGGGAAGAAACAAGAGAAGAGGGAGGGACGGCAGCAAACGGGGGAGACGCCGCTAGAAATGGTTTGGGGCAAGAGTGTGGGGAGCCTGTTGCTAGGCAATGAGTGCGCCGCAGTGGAAGTAAGTGTCTATTTCTGTCGTCTGAGTTTCCAGGGTCCAGACTGGCAGCTATTCCTGGAACCGGAGTCACATTCCCGGCTGAACTGACTGAGCAAGGAGAACGGGAAGGGGGGGGGGGGGGGGGGGGGGGGCATGTGCACAGACACGCACGCACTGCTGCACATGAGCAAACCACACATGCGGACACCCACGCTTACGCACATCTTTCCTTCTCTTTTCAAACCGACAAACAAATGTGATATATTCACACACGCACAGTCACATTTAAATCATACGCAAACACACAGCGTCTATGCACGCAAAAGCTCTTCTCGACATTATGTGCAATGCTCGAGAAGCTAACGCATTCTTTTGCATGTACACCGTGTTCCGAGCTCTGTCGCACACCATCGCGCATACACGCTGCACACACAAGACACATCCGTGGAAGCTTTGTGTGGGATGTGTTACTGCGGTGTGTGTGTGTACGTGAGGAGCGTGGGATGGTGAGAGATCTTCATTAAAAGATGAACTGGAATGTGGGGTTAAAGACCAGATGGGGTGAGTATGGACTAGGAAGCACTGAAAGAGGAGGAAGAGACAGAAATGGAGGGATGAGAGGCAGAGGAAGTGGCAAAAGAAAAGGGGGAGGCTGACAGATGGTTGCATTTAATAATGGAGAGGTGGCTATGAGCTGGATAATACCAAATCAAAATAAAGGGTGCTTTCAGAAGGATGTGCTACTTGAGGCTGCAGCTAAAAGCGCGCACACACACACACACACACACACACACACACACACACACACACACAC